GAGAGAGAGAGAGAGAGAGAGAGAGAAAGGGAGAAAGGGAGAAAGAGAGAGAGAAAAGTGGGAAGGAGAGGGGGGAGAGGGAAAGAGCGCGAACGAAGGCAGAGAGGAGGACGAGGATGAGAGCAAGAATAAGAGGGAGAGAGGGCGAGAGGGGGAGAGAGAGAGAGAGAGAGAGAGAGAGAGCGAGAGCGAGAGATCGGGAAGGGGCGGGAGGGGGAGAAAGAGAGGAGCGGTCCCGGCAAACAAGAAGCGAGCCGCAATGCATTCGCTCTACTCGCTAGATATAAATACGCGACAGAGGGCAAGGAACCAACCACGCCTGCACCGGCAGCTACTGCCTAACGACACCGACACGCACACGCAGCCGCTCATTGTGATAAAGCAGAAGAAGGAACGGAGGGAGCGAGAGAAAGAGGAAGAAAGAAGGAAACGGCGACAGAGACCGAGAGAGACGGAGGCAGAGAGAAAGAGAGAGAGAGAGAGAGAGAGAGAGGGAAGCAGAAAGAAAGAGAGAGAGAAAGAAAGGGAGCAGAAGAGGGAGAGGAAGCGGGAGAGATAAACAGAGGGAGGAAGAGAGAAAGAGAGGCGCGCAAGCTGCTGGTCGCCGCTGCTGCTGCTGCTGCTGCGTTCGTCCGTCCGTTCGTTCGTTCGTTCGTTCGCTCGTTCGTCCGTTCGTTCGTTCGTTCGTTCATTCGTTCATTCGTTCGTTCGTTCGTTCATTCGTTCGTTCGTTCGTCCGTTCGTCCGTTCGTTCGTTCGTTCGTTCGTTCATTCGTTCGTTCGTTCGTTCGTTCGTTCGTTCGTTCGTTCGTTCGTTCGTTCGTTCGTTCGTTCGTTCGTTCGTTCGTCCGTTCGTCCGTTCGTTCGTTCGTTCGTTCGTTCGTTCGTTCGTTCGTTCGTTCGTTCGTTCGTTCGTTCGTTCGTTCATCCGTGTGCTGCAAGTTGGGACGAATGTGGCCGGTCCCGAGTCTCTTTCTTTCTTTCTTTCTTTCTCTCTCTCTCTCTCTCTCTCTCTCTCTCTCTCTCTCTCTCTCTCTTTCTCTCTCTCTCTCTATCTCTCTCTCTCTCTCTCTATCTCTCTCACACACTCTCGCCCGCTCGTTCCAGCTCTCGGCCATCCTCTCTCTTCTTCTTTCCCGAAGACGCGGCCAAATATTGCATCGCCGGATAAATATAGGCGGCCGCGCGCACACCAAGCGCGGCTGCAGCAAGCCCTAACGCGTACTTTTCTCTTCTCGCTCTCGTCGCTTTCGGACGGCTACTACTACTATACAACGAGGGACGTGACTCTCTCGCCGGCGCGCCGCGGCATTCCTCTCCCGCGGCTCTCTTTCCACGCCGCGCCGCGCCGCGCGAAACGATCGTTAAATCCGTTCTTCGTTCGTGGCCGAGAACTTGGCGATGATGATGCCGAGAAGCCCGTGTGCGCTGCGCGACGTGTCGCTCCTTTTTTTCCTCCTCCTCTCTCTCTCTCTCTCTCTCTCTCTCTCTCTCTCTCTCTCTCTCTCTCTCTCTTTTCTCTCTTTTTCTCCCAGCGCGCCGAAATGCCGCGATCGCGCGCGGCCCCTTTGGATCCGATTTCGAGAGTGATCCGCGCCGGCCGCCGCGAACGATCGACTGCGACTCTGCGGCCGCGACTTTCCTCTTTTTTTGTCCCTCGCGCTCGCAAGAGCGCCGCGTGGAAACCCGCGGCTCGCAACTTTCGACTTCTGGCGTTCTCCTCGCCAGCCGGCTCGAGCCGAGTCTTGCCTCGTCCACGCTCGTCGAGATCGCGATTCCTGCGGACGGACATCTCGTCAGCATCTCTCCTGACGGTCCAAATAGTATCTCGCATATCAGACACGTGTCCAGCGGCGGTGTGGCTTCTGGTCCCTCTGGACTCTTGATCGATGACGTCACGGGCGGGAAAACGCGTGCCCGGAATTCCAACGTGGCGTTACCGCCGGGGCGAAGGATACTCGCGCGGAAGGGGTGCTTGAGGTCGCGGCAGTTTACTTGTCAAACGCCCCAGACACCACTCTTCCCCCTCGAAAGTCAATCAACGCGGCCGTAAAATGACTGTAATGCGAGGTTGGTCGTACGCAATGATTGCGCGTGCGCACGACTGTGCGCAACTCGTATTACAGTCATTTCGCGGCTGTTGATTGACTTTCAAAGAGGAGGCGCATTGTTTGGAGCGTACCGCGAGTACGCTCCAGCGAGAGCCTAAAGTATCTTCTCATCAGGAAGATCTCTCCATCCGGAAATGGCACGCGAGAATCCTCCTGCCTGTCATTTCCCGCGTCTGACGCCACCGGCCAACACCAGGCGCTGCCTCATCGATGCAGCAGCGGTGACATCGATACGATGAGATCCTCGCTTCTGAAATCTAGCCTTGTGTCGAAGCGAGGCAGGCCGAGAAGTCGAGGAACTCTCTTCAGGCTCTCGTCAGGATCTCAAACGCAACGAACAAACGACGCGGTCGAGGCGCGATGCCGCAGCTCGCCGGTTCACTCGGTTCGAGCGCTTATCTCGACGCGTTACAGCAGGCGACGCGTTACAGCAGGCGATAACTTGTAATCGGGTCAGTACAACGATGCATTGTAAAGCACGAGAGCTGGCTCGCCTCTGAATCTCCGCGCTTTTCTCGCTCTCGTCGGAGAGGGAGAGCCGAAGTGCGAGAGCGAGAAAGAGAGAGAGAGAGAGAGAGAGAGAGCTCAAGTATCGCGGACGTTCCGAATCCTTCCTTTAAGCTTACGTAAGCGCGCGGTCGCGTCGCTCCCCCCGTTAATACCCGCGCCAATCGAAGACAACGACGGGCCGTCCGCGGGAACTCCTGGGTCCTCAAGCATCGACCTGTGTGGGCAAAAAGGAACCTTCTTTTCGCGATGGCGAAAGGCTCCTTGCATCTCGTTTCCTTCGTTAGCGAAATGTATTTCGCGTCTCGCCGGCGACGGCCTCTCGCGCGCGTCGTCGTCGTCGTCGTCGTCGTCGTCGTCGCCGCGACGAGCTCGCATGCGAGCCGGCCTCTTAGCGCGCGACTAATCCGCGGACGAGCCGAACGCGCGACGCGACGAGACACGACGCGACAAGACGCGACACGACGCGATGCGACGCGACGCGACGCGCGTTCTCGCTTGCGCACCGGCCGCTTTGTTTTCGCGGGCTCGCGAGAGCGCGCGCCGCGTCGCGCGGCGCGGCAGCGGCGGCGGCAGCGGCGGCGGTGGCGGCGGCGGCGGCGGCGGCGGCGGCGGCGGCGGCGGTGGAGCACGTGGCTGCGGGGTCGCAGGCATAGTCAGTGAAAATCATCGTGCGCGGACATTGGGTGGCGGGAAACGTGCGTGATAGCGCGCGCGGAGGGAGGCCCTAATCAAGCTAGCGCGTGAACCTAACCCCACACGCTAGAGAAGGGTTGGGAGCGGGAGATGGAGGTGGTGGAGGAGACGACGACGGCGGGGGGGAGGGGGAGGGCGAAGAAGGCGGCGGTGTGCTGCTCCGTCGGCGATCGGCGTGGCGACCGGGGACAGAGTCGGCTAGAGAGAGCGAGGGAGAGAGAGAGAGAGTGAAAGAGAGAGAGAGAGGGAGAGAGAGAGAGAGAGAAAGAGAAGGAGAGAGGGGGAGGAGATAGAGAGAGAAAGAGGAGGGGGAGAGAGAGAGAGCCGGAGACGGTTATCGCGGAAGTTCGGCAATTATAGGTGCCGAGTCGTCCTCTTTTTTTTCCTCCTTTCCTTCCTTTTTTTTCAACGAGTGATATTGATTTGGGAGAGGCAGTTCGTATTCGCGGCACGAGCATACCTTGTGACTCGGCAGAGGCGATGCCGCCGCCAGCGCGATGCATCACGGCGCAGCGCGCATTGAGGGGTACGTCGCGCTGGCCGGGAGTGAGAGAGGACCGCGTGGTGGTGCGGCCAGGGGGCGCGGGACGCTGCGGCGGGAGGACGGCGAGCGTGCGCGCGCGCGCGCGCGCGCGGGAGGGGGCCGCGCGACGCCAGAGCGAGAGAGAGAAAGAGGGAGGGGGGGAGGAAGAGGTGATCGGAGGTGTTCCCCACCACGTCGTTCCCCTACGCCGAAAGGCAGCCCCACCACGTGGGCCGCCGGCCCCCGCCGGCGCGGTATCAAACCCCTTCCATCGGTTCAACGAACATAACTTCCTCGCTTCGGCTCCTCTCTCGACCCTACCCCTCCCGCCGTCGCTCCTCGCCGGCGACGCTGGTTCTCCACCAGCCGCCGCCGCCGCCGCCACCTCCAGCGTGTTTCGCCACCACCACCGAGTCCACTCTCCAGGGCCGAAAGTCGCGGCTCGGTCGCCCCGCCGTTTGTTTGCCGATTTTCAGGCTCACTTCGACAACTTCGACGATCCACGGCTCGATGGCGAGCTCGACACTCGAGAATCGCGGCGAGCGGCTCGTCGTCGCGGTGACGCCGTGAACGGTGTTTGTTGAAGCGCCAACGCGCACGTGCGCGCGACTGACTCGGCGACCAGGTTGTCGCCTCCAGGTTGAGAGGTGACAGTGAGTAAGAATGAGGTCGCTGCAGATGAGCGAGACTCGGACGACACTTCGAGTTACCAATCAACTTCCCAGTTCTCCTCGCGTACCTTTGATGCTCGAATTTCGACCGTGGCGCTGCTTCAATTTGCCGCGCCGCGACGACGCGTCGCGGCGATCGGCCCCTGCGATGCGACTGAGATTTCGCGTTTCTTCCTAGCCGTACGTCGCCGCGCGGCTTGAAAAGCCGTTGAAAACGACGGTCCTCCGTTGACCGCTCCTGCTTCCTCGTCCATCGGCGGAAGTATCTCGCTTTTCGGTGCTTCGGCGAGCCGCATGAAAAGAGGCGCGGGGCGCCAGCGCGGGCGCGGCCGGCCCTGTCGTCGCCGTCGTTGCCGCCGCCGTCGCCGTCGCCGTCGCCGCCACCACCACCGCCACTGCCGCCGCCGCCGCCGCCGCCGCCGCTCGTTCCACGGCACCTTCTCCGCTCGTCCTCTCCCGACGCTCAACCATCCCAAACCCGAACCAGTCCAGAAATCCCCACTCTGGTCGCGCGGTACCGCGGCGACGGAAGTGTGGCAACGTTGCAGCGCTCGCCAGTGTCTCGGTCTTGGCGAGTTACTCGGGGGGGCTCAGGCCGAGTCTACCGAGATTGTGTCTACCGGCGCGGGTAACCCGAAAGCGAGTGTGGCGAGGATTAAAGTCGCGGGCCGCTTTCCGGCATGCGAGACCGTCTCGCTGCTGCCTGAAGGCCGTACGGGAACGCACGAGGGACGGCGCGCGGACGATAAGAAAAGTTTCACGGCCGCGGACCTAGAAGAGGAGGCTGACGTGGAGGAGGTGGAGGAGGAGGAGCAGCAGGAACAGCAGCAGGAACAAGAGCAGCGGCAACAGCAGCAGCAGCAGCAGCAGCAGCAGCAGCAGCAGCATCATCAACAGCGGCAGCAACAGCAGCAGTAG